AGGCTGCGAGTCAGCCCGACTCACCCTCGTTCTTCTCTTCCGACATGACGGTATGACACAGGGAGAGGAGCCGGAAGAACTCATGGGTGTGGGGGTCCCCCATCTTGACGGCCTCCAAGAGGGTGGGGTCCCAGAATAGGAACTTCTTGTCAGCCAGAGGGTTGAAGGAGAAGTCGACGGGCTGTGGTCTCTGCAGAGGAAAGGGGGCAACGAGCAGAGGCTGGGAGCCAGGCTGCGTCTGGGGGGGCTGCCCCCACCCGGTCTCCTGCCCAGAGGATCCAGACGCTGCCCACTGTGAACCCCAAAACCCTCACTCCTGCTACCAGTTCTCCTGCAAACACCCGTTTCTCCAAGCGGCTTCTGCTTCTTGACCAGAGAACGCACCCCACTGTCTACACCCGCCGCTACGGGTCAGGCGACCTGTATTTAATCGGCACGGAGAGTAACCCTGGAGGCTGGACCTTACCTCTCCCAGTTCAGCTTTGTGTCCCAGGACATCAAACACGTCCCCTACACACTCCGGGACAGAAGGAGAGACACGGTCAGAGCTCTCTCGGAGCAGCAGAGAAGCCGGCACAGAATCCCCACAGCGTCGGGGACCCTCAACCCCAAACCCCGAGCCAACTAACACAGATTCGCACCCCTGACTCCAGGCACCCGGGCCTGAGGGTCACGGCCCCCGAGCCCCCCCGCTCTCCTGCCAGGGCTCCCCGGTCCCCGCAGGTGCTGGTCACCCTACAGGCCTAACGACAGACCAAGCCCCACACGCCAGCCGCGGGCCCGAGCCAGTACAGAAAGCAGAGAGGGGCTCACTGTAAGAGCCAGGTCCCACACACCCTGTCCCCAGCCACCCCGTGGCTCGGCCGCCCCGAAGACACAGTCACATTCCAGAGACTCACAAGGGCCCTGAGCAGCAGCACGGGGAGCCGCACGGACGCCCAGCGTCTCGGGCTTCACCTCAAGCAGCCGGGGAGCCCCCTCCTGCCTGGGGCCAAGACCGGGGAGAGGGCATCCGCAGAGGGCAGGGGAGGGGCTCCGCGGCCGTGTCCTGACCGGGGGTGCCAAGCGCACGCTCTCCTGGCCCCCCAGACCCAGCGGGACGGAAGCGGGACAGGGGCCCCAGGCCCTCGCCGCGCGCCCTACCGTAGCTGCGGCCGCGGACGGAGCACTTGTGGAAGACCATGACGTTCTGGGTGAGCGTGCCCGTCTTGTCGGAGAAGACGTACTCCACCTGGCCCAGCTCCTCGTTCAGGGTGGTGGTGCGGGCCTCGGCGGGCGTCTGCTTCTTCACGCAGAACATCTTCCTGTCCCAGTTGATGAAGTAGCTGTGGCCCAGGCGGATGACCTCCACGCTGCAAGGGGCGCGGGGGCAGGGCACGAGGCTCAGGCAGGAAGCCGAGGAGGCCCCCGCCCACAGGGGCCTTCGCCGCAAGCCCCCCGCCTGGGGACGGACAGACGGACGGACGGACGGACGGACAGAGTGGACGCCTGGGCGGGAAGGGCAAGGACGGCCCCCGACCCCGACCCTCCGGCGCTCTCCAGACAAGAAGGTGCACGGGGCCTGGGCAGGCAGGACACACAGTGCAGGCAGACAGAGAGGGACCGCGGACCAGGCTCTCGGCGAGCTCTTACCTCGACGCTAGTAACACAGAGCCCGTGCGGAGAAAACGAGAGAAAGTGTGTGAGGAAAGAAGAGAAGACAGACAGACAGGAGGGCCCTGGCGCTCACTGCCCACGGCGAGCCCTCTCCTTCCGCCCGGCTCAGGCCTCCGGCTCTCTGAAAGGGCGCAAGGCGGCCGCAGACGCCCACTCCGTGTGGGGAAACAATGCCGAGCGACAGGGCGCTTTCCACATCCCAGGGTCCTCCCCGTCCTCTTGCCTGCAGGGCGCTGCCTTTGGGGTACGGACTGCCAGCGCCCCAGGGAGGTGGCCGTCGGGCCAGCACACATCGGGGCGCGGGGCGCACCTGGAACCCTGCTTCTGACCCGACCGAGGCTGGACCAGGACCCAGTTACCCGGCAAACGCGCAGCTGGCTGGAGGGGTCTTCTCGGCCTTCTCCCCACCGAGCGGGTCGCGCCCCCCAACACACCCTGGAGCCTGACTCAGCAAGAGGCTTTCTCAGGCTGCAGCCGGGGGCACTGGATCCGAAACCCAGACAGCAAGCCCAGAGATGGGGGAGAGTCAGATTGCAAACGAGAAAGCATTTCAGCAGAAACGAGGAGCCAGCGATGGCAGCAAAGCACACACGGTCCACGTGAGGGCTCACAGGAACCCCCTTCGAAAGTTTATTTTCCAGTCTAGTGTCTCCTGCCAATGGAGTATCAAGGCGTCCCTACAAAGGTGGAACCGGACTGTTCCCGTTTTACACGTGGCCACGCCGCGGCTCAAGGACCTAGAAAAGCCC